AGTATGAGGAAGATATGAAGGATTTTTATGCCCATCGACTGGCTTCTCGTTCATTTTCTACTCGTGCCGCGCGAGCGGCATCGCTCTCGTCATCTTCATACTTGTAATTGAGGCGTCGGCTACCGGCCGCCGGCCGCTCCTGCCGACTGTCGCGTCGACGGCTGGGTTTACCAGTATCGCGGTCTGCATGCATCGCTTCGCGCCGTTGCTGTTCTTTCAACAAACGCTCGCGGTTGCGGGCCTCACGCTCTAACGTATGAGGGTCTTTCTCCGGTTCAGAAGTCTTGGTTGATGATGAAGAGGGTTTGTCTCTTGCTCGGTCTTTATCACGGATCTCGTCTTCGCGGCTTCGTTTGATACGCCGGGAATGGTGTCGCGATGAGTAGTCACTGTCGACGGGAGATTCAGTTCGGTCGCGACGAGACCGTTTTCTATCACGGTCACGGTCACCGTGGCGATCGCGGGCCCTGTCTCTATCTCTTTCCCTGTCGCGATCCCTCTCACGGTCTCTGTCTCTTTCCCTTTCCCGGTAACGATCGCGATCGCGATCGCGATCTCTTTCACGATCCCGACGTCGAGAATCTCGATCTCTCTCACGCTCCTCATCGCGACGACTGGAGCGGTCTTTGCCGGATCGGTAGGTCCGGCTGGAGCTCTCCTGGGTCTCGCCAACGATGGGTGTCCTGCTTCGAGAGCCGGTATCTTTTTCTTCGGGGATCAATGGGAGACGATCGGCATCGCGAGAGTCCCCATTGCGACTGGGACTCTGGCTGCGGTGGCGGTGCGAGCGATGCGATCGACGGCCGCTTCTTCTGTCTCGCTCCCTGTCCCGCCGAGATGACCGGCGGGAATCAACAGAGGGTGAACGAGTGCGGTGGCCATCTTCCGCTTGAGGCTGTTTGTCGTATTTGTCTTCGCGACGGGGCCTTCTTGGCCGCTCACGTCTGCGCTCGGAGTCCTCAGCGCCGTTCTCGATACTTGCGGAGCGTGGGCGATTGTGACGACGACTGGTGGACTGCGACCGCGCACGGGAACGAGATCGGCTTTTCGATCTCGATGCCGACCGAGCTCGCGACTTCGACCTCGAAGTTGAGCGTGGACGGTGGTCCTCCTGAGGTGCTGGGGTTGTGCTAGACATAATGTTAGACTAGGTCTGCAGACCGTCAGTGATGGGAGGGTACGACTTACCTCTGCGAAGCATCAGAAGGTCTCACTGATGGGACAGGTCCTCGTCCCGCTCCCTGGAAATTCCGCTGCCGGAGAACACTAGTATTTGGAAGACCTTCCCGCATCGCCCGGGGAGCAGCTGGTGCGCCTTCGACACCAGGTCCTCTAGGTGCAGGCATGGCAGATCCGGGCATGAAGGCTGGTCCAGCAAAAGGCCCTCCACGGCCTCCGGGAAAGGGACCACGCATATAACCTCGGCCAAAGCCTGGCCCCATCGGCCCCGGCATCATAGGCCCATTGTGCATCCCTTGGGCGGCATTGGCCTGGTCAAGACTGTCAATGGTTGGTATACCACGCAGCTCCGAGTCCTCTGGACCAGTCTCTTCCATGGTGGGGCCATTTGCAGAACTGACTTCACCATTCTCGCCCAGGTCAGCAGTATTCTCATTCATCGATGGGTCTTTGGTGCCATCCAAATCGCCGCCTGGGGCATTCTCATCATTAGCATTTGTCGCTTCAGTGCCGTTGGGGTCTCCAGTCGGCGTCTCTGCAGATACTCCTTCTTGCGATTGGGATGACATGTCTTGATTGAAGTTAGGGGAATTAAACGCTGGGTAGTTAGCATTAGGAGGGTAATTAGCTTGCATAGGTCCCGTGAAGCCGCCGCGGCCACGACCACCGGGGTAAAATCCGCGACCACGGCCCCGGAAATTGCCCCGGCCATACCCGGGACCATAATAGCCCGATTGGAAATCTTGGTTAGGGAATTGTTGTTGCTGCATTTGAGGATGAACTCCGTTGGGTTGAGACATATTATATCCGCCAAATCCAGAGGGGGCCCCATACTGTGGGCCCATACCATTTGCGAAAGCATTTGGATTGAATTTATCTTGGCCTCCATTCCACATATTGTTTTGTGAGCCGTCCCATCCCCCATACATCCCTTGACCCGCGTCGAAATTCATCCCCGTATTCATGCCATTCATGTTCATCCCGTAACCTCCAAACATACCCTGACTCGCGACCATCGGGTCCATCATACCGGCCATTCCTATAACCAAACCATTAGCAATTTCCAGTTATAGAATTGATGAAAGAGGTGAGACACATACCCATAGGATTGAATATTCCGTTGCCCATGAACTGAGACATCGGATTGAAGTCCCCGTTGCTGTTCCAACCCACGGGAAACATCCCCGGAGCCATGCCGAACGGCATCCCATTGGGGAGCATTTGCCCTGACCCCGGGCCCTGGGACATGTCCTGTTCAGATTCCTGAGCCAATTTGGCATCATCTGCATCTTCTTCTTCGCCAGAACCGTTTTGGTGCGTCGCATCCGGGTTTTCAGTTCCATCCGCGGGAACGGTTTCGGTCTGTTCGTCCTGTTGAGGCGAGACAGTCAATATGTGCGCTTCTTTGTTGCAAGTGTGTGGGACGCGAATTACCTCGGCCGGGGGTTGGGATTGCACAGGAGCTTCATGATCCCCGTCAGTTTGCTCGGTAACAGCCTCCGACGGGTTTCCGCTAGCTAGAGGCTCCTCTGATGGAGCTTCGACAGTGGGCACCACTTCTGGTATGACTTCTTCCTGCTTAGCTTCCGGGACATCGGAAACCGCGGGTGTTTCTTGCTGGGCCGGAGTTCCCTGCACAGGGGTCGCATCATTGGTAGCCGCAGGAGTTGCTGACTGGCGCTCTTTCTCACGCTTTTTTTCCTCGGTACGAAGGAAAGCCTTTAAAGTCGTCCTGAGAGCTTTATTCGGCTTGCATAAATCGGAGGAGAGAGGCGTATGTGCGCAGACAGGACAGGTCTCTGGCAGTGACGCTTGGCCTAAGACGAGATCGTTAGATCAAGTCATGATGGGAACATAAAGTATAGCAAAGGAATGTAGAGCTCGTACAGTTTTCGCAAATAGCCTGATCGCAGCAAGGCAACCGGAACGCGTTCACAGCCAGCTTGTTGCAGATAGCGCATCGCAGCTTGAATGGAATTTCATCCTGCGTGAGAGAGCTAATTCACCGGTAATACAATGAGCCACCACGCATTGCAATGTTAAAAGGGCGATCCCCAATGGTATTGCTTACCTCGCAATATCCATCAAGCCCGAAGGCTGATCCGTTGCAGCCATGGCGAAAATCGAGTCAAGACGGAGGTCAAGAGAGCACGAGATAAGTCCGAAAGTTAGATAGCCGGCGCGTATGACAAGTAAAGGCTAGCCCAGATGGCAAAAGCAGATGGCATGGCTCAATTCGCCATCAGTAGGTAATGAAGCGCATTCCCAACGACGTCGCAGGTGAATGGCGAGCGAGTAATGATCGTGGTAAGTCGCAATCTGACTGATTGACCAAATTTGGACTGGACGGGCCGGAGGCTGGTCGGAACGGAACAATGTGCGGACCGGGCGTCCCTCCTGTTTGCTTGTTTGCTCCCCGCCCACGGAGTGTGACAGTTGTGGGCGGTCCCTCACCGGCATTCTCCCTTTTGTCCTCTTTATCTTCCCTGTAAGGGAGATAGATGTATGTATGTTTGTATGAGGACCTACTAATAGAATACATATTATAGATATGACCAGTGGGGTCTCAAATTAACATCATGTATTCGAGTACTGCATTTAGTTGACCGGGCTCGTCAACCCGCTCGTTGACCTGTTACATATAACCAAAAAAAAAAAAAAAAAAACAAATGCCTCGGATGGTTTTCTGAAACGTGCTGGTGCAGGTTGTCGATCATTTCATTTGAATGGCTGGCACGACTTCCTCCGTACTGCCTCACACCGCCCAAGGCTGACAGGTGCCCGTGACCTATCATCAGGGGTTCTGTCGACACGACAACAACGCTGGGACTGAGGGTAGGCTACTTAACTTTATACGGGCTCTAGCAACATATTTTGATATTCTCAACATATCTGAACTAAAATATATATTGGCTCCCGGGACTACCTTGGATCAAAGAATTGTAGGAAAGCAGCAAAACTGATTGGCCATCAGATTAGATCAAGTTATTTTCACCGTCACGGATGCGGTATTGCTGTAAGTAGCAAGAGAGGATGAAACTAGCGGCGATACCATGGCTAGGTTTCTGCCTGCCGTGTTCATCCTTTCCCAACATCTCTAGGCTCATTCTATCATCATCGACCGTCATGGCAGTTTGCGAAGGATTCCATCAGACATTCATACTGTGATGCCAGCAAGAACAGTATAAGGATAACGACAGCAGCAATATAAAAACGAGAGATAAAAGAAAGGATGCGATTGACAATATCCCGAAAAGACAACACCAACATTAAAAGGCCCTGTTTGGAATATAGTGACGGGAATGACAAGAAAGAGAAAGATACACACTGATAAAGCAGAAAATAAACAATACGTATCTTCAAAGCTGTCTTCAGTTAGTATGGAGAATCCCGAGCGACGGACGGCATCACGCGCGGTAAGGCTAAACCAGGCTTGGGACCCAATCACGGCCTTGTCCACATTGAATCGTTTTACGGTCGTGGTGGCGAGTGGTCAGATGAGAGCCACCAGTTGGGTCATGATGATGATGATGGTGGTGAGGAAGAGATCAGTAATTATTTTCATATCCCGTATAATTCTTTCACAAGAAGAAGGGGCGGATGAAAACAATGAGAATGAATATATCAATAGATAGAACGTAGGACAAGATCGAAGGTTGTAAACTTGTAACGTTAGTAAGGCAATATGGAGTAGCGGCTGCAACAAGAGTCATCACTTATGTCGTCATGAGTTCTCGAGATCATCTGTCTCAAATAAATAGAAAAGGGAGAGTGAAGGAACCGCAGAGAATAAGAAAAATTAATAAAGAAAAGATAAACAGCGAAAAAACAAAAAAAAAAAAAACACATTCGGTGGAAGAAAAAAAAAGAAAAAGCTAAATTCATTCAAGGCTAACCAAATGACGGGTTAGTACATATTTTTAGTGTGCGAGTGGACCAGGAGCGCAGGGTTAAAAAGGGCGACCGCTGCTCTGCGGATGAAAAAAGGACGCCGGGACCCTTCAGATTTCTGGCTGCTGTGCCCACAGCCCACAGTCTCTTGTGCCCACGCACTTAGCCTTCGTTTTCTCTTCTCGAAGCAAGACAAAAGCTCGGGCCATCCGTGGCGCGATCGATCAAAACAACCCATTAAGCAAAAATTACATACCAATCTCTTACCTTACTACCGTTATTATTGATTGTTTACTCCCTTGACAATCTGACCTCAGATCTGAAATACCACAAACAAGGAACTCTCTAGGAGTCCTATTTATACACCTGTATTTTAAATCCTCCGTTCGATGCCTATAACATTCTCCCAGGCGTGATATACTTTATTTATTTTTTCATGTCCACTTGGAATCCCTCTTGACCACCGAAATTGTCAAATTTCAAGGTACGTGCCCATAAAAACCACAGTAACTAAACTCACCCAACCCCATATTTATCACACTAGCGGCTTCCTGTTTCGCGCTCGCGCATCCCCATCACCACTTTTTTCTATTTTTTATTTTAATTTTTATTATTATTATTTTTTTTTTCTGCAGGAATATTAATCGCTAATAACCCACACCAGCTATGACAGATCAGGATAATTCCTACCGACCTCGATCTCCCGATTTTTCCACCTTTCAATCCCCCATCCCCCCCTCTATCCCCCAGCCCATATACTCCGTTGCGAACCCATTGGCTCATCACCGCGCATCCTACAACGCCTCTCCCTATTTCACCCCGCAGTACCACGACCCTGTTCCTCCACCCCCACCCCGTCGTGCCTCTCAACAGTACATCCCTCCTTTCGCAGACCCGATTGTAGATCCCGACATGGCTCGTCGGTCGTCTCGGATCGCGCGCGCTGCCGAGGTTGTGCCCATACCGGAAACTAAGTACGTGGAACCAACATACGTCGAACCATCATACGTCGAACCACCATATGTCGAACCAACACCGGTGCTGCCGGAAGAGCCTCCCCAGTCAAACCCCCTGGCGGGCGTGGAAGTGAAGACAAAATTCCCTGTCGCGCGCATTAAGCGCATTATGCAAGCCGATGAAGATGTCGGTAAGGTAGCGCAGGTGACTCCAATTGCTGTCTGTATGTGATCTGTTCCCTCTTTGCTATACCTCCGGGTTATGTAGGACGCGATGCTGACGCGTTTTGTTTTGTTTATAGCCAAAGCTCTAGAACTCTTTATGATCTCTCTTGTCACCAAGGCCGCAAAGGAAGCCAAGGACCGGAATTCGAAACGTGTCACCGCATCGCATCTGAAGCAAGCGGTCGCGAAAGATGAAGTATTAGATTTCCTGGCCGACATCATTGCCAAGGTGCCAGATCAACCAGCAGGAAGAAAGCACGATGATGATGGAAGTGATCAAAACGAACAACCGAAACGAAAGCGCGGAGGTCGACGACCGAAAGACGACAGCGACTAGCTATGGACAATGGGTGTCGGCGTTACCTCACTTTTTATCTTTCCTTTTTCTTCGCGCTTTATGCTTCCTAACCTCATGTTTACTTTTCTTTGTTTAAACGACTTTGATGGGCGATATTTTAGACTGGGATGGGGAGCGGGCGCATACTCTCTCGGCGTTGTGATGGCGGGCATGGTTTGATTTGCATCTCGCGATGTGAATAGGTACCCTTGGGTATTCTTCCTTTTGATTCAGCACATTTTCGAACAATTCACTCAGTTATGAGTCGATCTCCAGCCCATGGGCTGGAATGGTGATCGATGCCGTATGGCATATTGTCTATCATAGACCCCTTAGTAGTGGATGTAGATGTCTGGAAATGGCCACTGTCAGCTTCCATAATCAATAAGTTCACTAGTGATAACCAAGTCTCGATCCAGCCAAACTTGCTTCACCCCTCAAATGAAGACTGCACCTGATGTACTATAGATGCACATGGTATGCTTTGGTTAGTGACACTGGCAGGATGAAGGCTTGTTGGTTGGGTCTAATAATGAATAATCTTCGTATCACCCCAAGGTAATATGATCACGCATTCAGCAGATACTTGATGTAGATCACAATGATGTGATTACAACCTATGGAAAAAAGAATGTCAAGATCGGGGCTCGAACCCTGCTATCTTCGATAGTCGGGTTTCAGCATAGTAGCTTACTAATTATCCGTTCATGATGATACAGATAGCTTCTAGCCAATTGGAAAGCATACAATCTATTGCCTTAACTAACTCGGCCATCTTGCTATTAGGTGAAGAAAAGCCAGTTAGTAGATTTCCCCGTTTCATTCAAATCGCACTTGTGCCTGTCTCACTAATGCTCATCCCTGTGGATGTTGTCTCCTGTGCGACCATAACACCACAGTTTGATCATGTATGTGAATGAATAGTATCATGCTGTTCTCACGCAATCATGGATTTTGTAAGTTGACTCTTGCGTCTGAGCCCTTACTTAATAGTCTCCCTCCATAACCATTGGAAATCAATTTAACTAATCTGCGGTAGTGGTCTCGTTTAATCGGCGGATCCCGTTCGCTATCTACCAAGACGTACCGGGCAAGCTCTCCTACTGAGCGATTGGCGGCATTCAAGCGGACTTGTAATACTTTGCAAGTATGCTCTCCTCTCACTGCGCCGCCTGTCGGGCCTCGACTAAATGTTTCCCTTTGTAGCAAATCTGGCGCTCCACCAACTCGCCGTCGGGAGATCAGTCTGCGACAACCCATGCGCGCAACTGCATTGACCGACTAAATTCCGTCCTCAGCGATGAATCCCGAGGCCCGGCTCCTCATCCGTGTTTAGCATATGCTGCATCTTCTCAGATCTTCGTGACTGTCACCAAACTCGCGCTGTCTTCTTACGACGATGGAATGCTCCGTTCCGCCGCTGTCTTCTTCAATACCTTGATCGATTCGGAGGTGGATGGAGTAGTGGATAACCGGCTATTCGCGCGGGCGCTGGTGGATCTCGTCCGACGTGCAGACAAACACACAGAAGATGTGGAAGGAAGGCTTGTCGAGCTGCTGTTTGGTGTCGCCAATAATATCCGTCTGCAACCTGATATTCTCCCTGCGTGGTTTGCTCCGAGGTCCGAAGACCAAGACCGTGAGCAACAAACCAATACTGGCGCTGAGTTCGCGGGTGCGACTCGGAAGGATGACTTCCCACTGTTCTACTTGTTAGTGGAATATGTTCACCACGGGGGCCGTGCGGGTGATTTTGCTCGGACCGGTCTTCTTTATCTGATAGAGACAGCCTCTCGCTCAAAGAACCTAGAGAGATGGTTAATTGAGAGCGATCTAGCCACATTAATGGCAACGGGGCTAGGTGCGTTGTATAGTCAGCTAGGAAAGTGAGTATCTTGTTAATCTCGTTCCCTTTGAGCTATATTGATTGATGTTTGAAAGCCTGTCCTTCGATGAAACCCCCGACGAGAAGATGCCCCACATTGTTGCGCTATCTGATCATGCGAAACAAGAGACTGCTCTTCCCCCTGCACTGGGGGCAACTGTAGACTCTTTCATGTCGTACCTATTGTTTTGGCAGGATACTATTGATCACTGCAAATCAGCAGAAGTCAACGGCACATTACTAGATCACTTTCAGGTCTTGTTTCTCGAACAACTTCTGTAAGTGAGTCCCAGGGTGGACTGATTGAGTAGTTGCTGACATGACCCTTGTGCGTGAACAGATACCCATCACTGCTCGAGTCCTCGGATGTCGAAGGTGGTTCTACCGCTGCCGTGCTTACCTATTTGAATCGCATTCTGGAGTCGATTAACCAGGATGATCTGGTACATCGAATTCTCCACTTCTTACTAGCCTCACCTTCCGACATGGAAACGTCACCTACTTTGAAAGTGAACATGTCAGTAAGCCGGCGGAAGTCTTTGGACGTTTTAGCTGCTTTCTCGGAGGAAGCTGCGAAACCGTCGCCTTCACTATTTAACCTAAGAGACCTTGCTCTCCTAGGGCTGCAGTCTGCCAATCGGCAAACTGTTTTGGCAACGCTACGGCTAATGGCGGTCATCCTCCAACGGCATCATACCTTTGCCCGGTCATTGATCCGAACGGTTCCTGGTCAATATGCCGGGCAACGAACTGTGGGGCAATTGAATGCAGAGCTGGAGCAGCTTACAGGAATGGCCACGTCGATTGTGGATGACCCCACGCTAAATGAGTCCTTTGAGGACTACCTCAAGGATGCTTCATTAATCTTAGAATCTCACTTGTATATCCCACCGGCTGAAACTGGCCTGGAAGATGACCGCCCACTGGAGATTCGCCAAGAGGACCCTATTGTCCAGGAACTGCTGAATTGTGTCGAGACATTCTTTACGAATAGCGTCATCGTCAACCTAGCATTAACGGAGGTTCTCATGAGTATCGCATCTTCACACCTTATATCGCTTGACAGCTGGCTCCTTGTGGACCCATCTAAATACGTATACGATGATCAGACTATAACCCAGGATGGACCTATGGAAATCTTAGACCAAATAAAGCTAGCCTATCAAGAGCCCTCGTTGTCGAGTTCTGAGACACCAACGCTCACATCCGCACTGCAAAGACTTGTGCAGAGAATCCAGCAATGGCGGAAGGATGTGCCGGATTTTGACATTCTAGTTGCAGCTCGGCGGGACCTACTCCATCAGGATGATCCTGCTAAAGACACTGGCCGCCTTCAGCAACCATTCGAAGTACCAACGCGTCTTCCTTCTGAACGGCGACCACTGAAGATGCCCTTAGACTCCGACATTGGGTCACCTCGAGGGAGGTCCTCACTTGTGCAAGATTCCCCGGGCACACCAGCTTCCCGACAGGCCGCCGTGGGCTCACCGCTTCGTGGATCTTCAGTTCGCTCTCCCGACTCTCGTGAGTCCTCCTCGCCTCGAACGACGGCAGCGGAGGAGCTTCGAAAGCGACTAGCGAAGCCATTCCAAGTGGACCATCCGCACAAAGCAACAGTGGCTGGTGAAGAACCCGAGCCGGCAGCAAATGCAGTGGCAGAAGGAGAGGCCGAAAGTGCGATTGCTGATGAGGAGCCGCGGTCAGCGACCCTCGGCCATGTTTTAACCAACGTGGTCATACTGTACGAATTTCTCCTGGAAGTTTCTGCCACAGTGCAAGCGCGAAGCACCTTATTTGGAGAAGCGGGATACCCCGGAGTAGGCTGGAGTGACCCGCTGGATGAGTAGTTGATGTGATATGTTGAACTTGTTTGATATTATTAGCTGTCCAACTACCCCATAGCATAGGCAGGCCCCTATAACCGGATATATGTATGAGTTTAGACATTGTACATTTACCTTTTTGTTATTTTTTTTTTCAAGGCTATTTGTGCTTGGAATACTTTCATGAATCACTCCAAAATGTTCATTGGACCGTAGTCTTTGCTAGTCCTTCTATTAGTTGTACTGCCACTGGGACGCATTTGTATATTCACCACCTTTCTAGTCTTGCAGCGCTTCACTTAACCTGTAAAGGGGAATATGCCACCTCCAATCTGGCCCAAACCCACCCTGAACCTGCAAACTTCCAAGGCCCTACGTATACCACCTAGTACAGCTTCACAAGTCAGTCTTACAAGAGCGCCTAGGCTAGTAGGAATTTTAGGAGGCACAGGCCGATATAGTCCTCTATCGATAACTCTAGAGTAGTACTTAGTAATTTCTATTCTATATAGAAATCAATACTTAGAGTTAGAATACACACTTTACAGTCAAAATAATATATAAAAAGTAGGCATTTAAATATGCTAAAGACAGATAGATATCATGATATGAAGAGGTACTATTCTACTAGTAAATAAATCTATACAGGCAGGCTGCAGGGGGTAGGCAAGCGCCCTGTCAGATTAACCCTTCCTTATAGATATTGTCACCGGTCCAATATCGATCCTGTCTGATGACTGTGCAGTATACACTGCCCCTTGTGCATAGAAAACTTGCTCACTGAACGGTAAATTTGGAGTTTATATCCGCTGGCCTTTTTATAACGTATAGTAGACGACATGATCACCCCATCATATACAGAGGACCTGGGCCCTCTTGATTAAAGATTAGTATTTTGTTAGTAGTAAAGAAAAATAAGCACTAGTATTCTGTCTACATAGTATCTACTAGTACTGTCTGCCTTTCTGCCTACGTATCCTTGATTCCTTGCCGAGTTGCCAGGTTTTTTATGCAACAAAGGATCTACGATTCAGTGTAGAAGACCCGTTGACTAGGAGGTAGGAATACGTAGGCAATTCGGGATATCAACGTTTAGTATTTCAATAATAGTTGAATTTAATATAGGAGACTGAGCGTTGATCCTATGGGCCTATGACGACCCCTTCTAAAATTAATCATGCACAGAGGACCGGGTATAGTATAAATAGAGCATGGATCCTTTATACAATAGAAACCAAGATTCTTATACAACGGGGAACAGGATCCTTTGTATAACATGAACCGAAGACCTTATAGCGCTTCTAAGTTCTAGGTCGAATCCCCGGTTAATCCTTTACACTTTACCCTTAATAGTAGATATTTCTGCGTATAAGTACTAGGTGATCGATGGATATAGTTGAGCGCGGCTGCAGGGAGCAGGAATATGAGGAGGGCAAAAGGAAACGGTCAACTAGAACCATCGTGATCACAGATGAATTAGAAAGCAAGTTGAGCGCCTTATTCTAATGCCATTGAATGATCTAGTTGGTGCATCGCCAGCCTGCCCACCTACCCGTGCAGATCACGAAACTACTGAGATAGGAAGGGGGTTTGAAGAAGACTTCCATTGACTGGTATAAAAGGTGATTATTCCTAATCTACGTTAAGCAAGAGAAACTATCAGTGTATGGAAATCACATTAGGCAAGATAAACCCAAGTAAATGACTACTATTTCCTTCGCACACTGTATCAGTCCTATCTTCTCACCTGCATTCTGCTCTAAAGAAATGCGCCTTCCTTGTCTCGAACGGAATATACTCTTCTTCTACCCACTTTAACCACTAATACTCATATTTCTGGTTGATATAATCATCATGATCCCCAATATCTGCAAAACCAACCGTCAGCCACGTAAGCCATCATCCGAACGCCACCAACAGCGGGAGGAACCCTACATCCTCCATCATGCAGTACAGATCCATGACATTGATATCCTGTATTATATCGCTGCCGTGGCTGTTCGTCCAACTCCCAAATCCCCGACGTATAGCTCCAAAAAGCAGCGTCTTTCTCGCGTTGGCGATCATTTTTCCATCCCCGATGGTGGGACATCCACATGGACATAGGGCTATTCGATCTGTAGAAGTATTCTTCTAATTGAGGTATTTCCCTTGCTTTCTCGGTGAAGAAAATCAACCAGTATCCCCTGCTTTGTGGAAAGGTGTTGGATATGAACAGGTTCCGGGCTAATATATTTCTTTAGTACTTACACAACAGATAATTAAGGATCTCCCAAACCTTAACAATCGCGTTATTCAAGCCATTGATGACCATTACAGGATACTTTAATCATCGGCAAAGCATGTCAGCCAGTCATCCTTCCATGGAAAGTGTAAACTACATTCATCTAGCCATCACCTACTACCTAATATAGCAACACTCAGCTAACCAATATCTTACATACCATTTCGTGTTTTAATTCACAACTACAACATAGTCATCAAAAACGCCGAGATGCCTACTAGTAATATCCCGGCACCGCATGTCAGCACATCATTTTAGATACACGACTCAAACTATAACAATCAGCCCAAGTTTAGCACATCACTAACCATCGTACAAATCCCCAAGATAATCGAGCTTCTCGTCGTTGATGTCGTCTAAGATGTCCTGTTAGTTATTGTATGGATATAGTAGTCTGTAGGGATCGATGCAGGAATCCTACCTCTGTCTTCCATATCTTGTTCCGGGGTGAGGTAGATGTTAGGGTCATTACTTAGGTGCAATGATGCGGGCACATGTTCGAATGTTTTGTCTTCGATGTGCTCTTCCGTTTCGTTGGTTGGGGCTTTGGGCATAGACATTGCGAGTTAATTCTAGGGTATGAGGCTCAGGCGAAAGAAATGCGAGAGTCATATTGAGGAAATCGGGGTTAAATCTGTGATCTCAGCATTATCTTATATAGTATCCTAGTCTTACTATGAACAAGGATGAATTATGTGTCCCAATCAGGAAATACCCAAACTATGTAACGTAAGTGGTAGCTTATGATTTATGACTTGTTCAATAATACTCAAGGGCGATATAAAAGTGGCTTAGTCCCAGGGTAGCATCGACCTTAAAAGCAAGATTGGTATTGTTTCGGAACACTACTCATATAACCTTACCATGGGAGAGACCACACTTACGCAAGTTCTAGCAATCTCTACCTCATCCCTCAGGGCTACACAAGGAGCACTAGTACCCCCAAAGCCAAAGCCTTGCATGTATGAAGCGGCCTTGCCCAATGTGTGTCTGGTGAAGCCTGCCGTTAAACGCAGCCGATAAAAGAAATGCATTCGGGTAAACCTACCCATAATAAGCCGCACAATATACGCCTGGGCTCCTACCGACTTAGACGCGAAGACCACTTGTACAGTAGAAAGGGGTCAGATGCAGGTTTTCGTCCGGTTTTCTTCATGTAATCGTCATGCCATGGCTTGCTCTCACGACATGATAGTCTGGCCGAGCCTGATTTCGATAACATTATTACCACTAATCTGATTCGTAGTATGTACTTCGCTAGACGCTGTGTCTACAATCTTTATGATTATGGATTGCCACCACGATCATGACCAATACACAGCAAGAATGGAACAAGATACACCGGTGAATTTGTGCTTGCTTATTGTAGAAGTCGAACATATTTGAACCGTTGATCCTTACATCCCTAGTATTACCACGGTTCAACTAGGAAAATTGTGGAGATAATAATCATGCGCCAATACAGCACTATAAGCTAGCTCCCATATCAAGTATATTTCTTCTTATTGGCGAGAAAAGCTGGGGTTCGAGTTAATCAACGGTCATTATGTTGTTTGCTAGATGACTACTAGTACACTTGCAGTTGTATCTGGAGTAGGCAAGTCATCCAGTCTTGTTGTACCGAAGATATGGTTGGTAGTGATAGCAAATGTCATTTATTAACTATTAGAAATAATAGCAACGAACTTTGTAATATCTACTCTCTTAATTTCTTAAGAATTGCTAAGGACAATATCTTAGATAGGGCTTGTTATATAGTTCATGTACACTGATATTTTCCCTTCATACAATAACATAACAGCATCGAAACTTATAATAATGAATATTGAGGCGAGTGCAGTTGGCTTTGAATCCTTTGCTTAGGTATCTCCGTTGTGAAATTGCCCAAAGAAAACAGGTCATTGTTTAAATGGATAGTATTATTGATGGGCTTTCCAAGTGTTTTGTAGGAAGTCCTTGAGCTTAGTTGATTCGATATCTGGAAACCTCGCGTTTAACCGATTCTCGCGCGGCAGATCAAATACCCCGGCAATTGTCAACCGACTCACGAGTACCGTAGTTTCTTTGAGCTCTTCAGCAGAATACCCAGTGTCGGCAGGCATTGGAGGAATAGTGACATCTCCTTCCTTGATTTTATCTGCGCTGTCGTAGACAACCTGGAATTTCTTGCCTAAACGAAGTTAGTCTAATGGACTGTCAGTGATATCTCCTGGATATACCTCGTATTTCTTCAGCTAGCTGGAGAAGCTGATTATATGTGGTTTCAGAGCCAACAATAACACTGAACTCGGGCCAATCCTCCTCATCCAGCAATCTTACAATATACACAGCCATGTCGTACGTATATGTCATGCATATAACATCGTTGCCATCGCCCGGAATGGCGGCCTGACAGCTGGCGATGTCTATGCCAAATGTGAAGGGTTGGAGATTAGTACGAACGACTGGCATTCCCCAGTAATCCATGAAGAACCCGGGGATAACTCTAGTAAACTGTAGAGTGGTTCTTTGAAGCAATTCAGCGGCAGCCAACCAGTACTTGATACTTGGGTCGATCGAAAGGAGACTGGAGTTGTTAGCTAGACGCACAAAGAGCAAAGTACTTTGAGGCAGCAGACGCTTCAGTTTGAATAAATGAATATTCACTAGGAATAAACCTCTTGGTGGCTGAGGATTGAGCCGCAGCGTTAATCAGCGTGAGCTGAGATTGAGATGTTTCATCGGAGATAATCCCGATTGCAGAAATAATGGTGTGCACTTCATGCTGGTCCAAGATGCGTGCCAATGCCGTAGTGTCGCTGTAATCTACTTGCACCTGTTGGGTCTTGTCAAGCAAAGGATCTGATTTGGGTACCTGGGAAATTGGTCAGCTCTTGAATATAATTCCGGAGCTACTGTAGGTATGCGTTCATACCCCACGAGTCAGCAAGATGACTTGATGTTTTGCTTGCTGGACTAGTGCCTCGACAATGGTCCGACCGACACCACCGGTACCGCCCGCTACTGCGACAATAGCCATCTTTCTATTATGTTTTTTGAGCTACACTTGGAGATGTGTGTCTGGAGGGAGCTATGTACTATAGCTAGAATGGATGGGGCCGGGGGAACCTTTTGCCGGTTGATAAAAGTGCTGATTAGATCAACCGCGGGGCAGTCACCTGACTGATAAGATGACTCACCCGCCGATTTTCCTCCGAACGATTGGAGGGGTCCTTTAAATCCGTTGTTGAGAGAAAAAGTCCCAGATCTCGTCCAGCCAAACGCCAATTGCAATATGAAGAGAGAGGATATTACCTACATGGGTGCCGGCCCTGCCGCCCTGCCCACCGACGTCTTGGCCGAAGCTGCCGAAGCTCTGCAGAACTATGAGCAGACCGGCCTGTAAGCTCCGGACCGGCATCGCTGCAATTGAAGCTATAGAAGGTATTCTGACTTTCCTAGGGGTGTCGCCGAACACAGCCACCGCAGCGAGATTGCAGCCAACATCTTGAACACTATGAAGGCCAACCTTACGAGCTTCCTCGATGTCCCCGCGAACTACGAGATCTTGATGATGCAGGGTGGAGGATCGGGTCAATTCGATGCGACGGTGTACAACATCGTTTCTGCTTGGGTTGAAAAACAGCGCCAGAAGATTGTGAAGGAGCTCGGCGAAGCCAGCGAGGAGGATGTGATTAAGGCGCTCCGCGAGAAGGTTGAGGCGGAGCTGCGATTGGACTACTTGGTTACGGGATCGTCAGTCTCCGGTCGCATCCATTGAACCAGTTCTGTGATACTAACAGACGGCGCAGATGGTCGTCCAAGGCTAGCCAGGAGGCAATCCGCCTGCTTGGACCCGAATACGTCAACATTGCTAGTGACGCCCGGAAGGTCAACGATGGAAAGTTCGGCAAGATTGCCGATGAATCGACATGGAACCTGAGCCCTAAGCCTACCATGATCTACATGTGCGACAACGAAACAGTGGACGGTGTCGAATACCCCCACTTCCCCAAGGTTCTTGAGCCAACCGGTTCGGAGGAGGATCCATTCGTGGTGGGAGATTTCTCTTCAAACATCCTCTCTAGGCGTATCCCCATTAAGGTAGAGAACCCCAGTTTTTGTGCTGGCCAGTGATTCATTGCTCACCTTGATTTAGAATTATTCCATTGTGTTCTTCGGAGCGTAAGATTTACCTTCTGAGCTGAACCGTGAACACAAGCTGACGTGACCAGTCAAAAAAACCTGGGCTGTGCCGGAGTGACTGGCGTCATCATCCGCAAGGACCTGCTCGTCTCGTGCCCCCCAACGATCCTTCGCAAGCTTGGACTGCCAATTGCCCCCACGATCCTTGACTACTGCGTAACCGCAAAGAACAACAGTCTCTACAACACTCTTCCGATCTTCGAGTAGGTTGCTCCTCCGTCAGCGCTGGACCGGTCTAACGCTGTGTAGTGTTTACTTGGCCGGCCAAGTTCTCAAGAAGCTGCTGGCTACCTTCCCCGACAAGGTGGACGGACAGCAGGCCGAGGCCCAGCAGAAGGCCGATATGATTTATGAGGCGGCGGATGCGTATCCCGAAGTCTACAAGGTTGTGCCAGACAAGAGTGTGCGCTCCCGAATGAACGTTTGCTTCCGTGTGATCAAGGTAGGGCTTTCCATGTAATCATGGTCGGTTGAGATGGCCACTGACATCGGGTCTAGGGGGGCAATGTCGATGAGGCCGAGAAGGCCTTTTTGAAGGGAGCCGTGGAGCGCGGCATCACTGGGCTCAAGGGCCACCGCAGTGTCGGAGGTAAGCATGCAATGACGCTCTATCCCATTGCGACATGGCGCTGACGTGGACAGGTATCCGGGCGTCCAACTACAACGCCATTCCCGTTTCGGGAGCCGAGAAGCTTGTTGCGTATCTGAAGGAATATGCACAGGCGTAGCTTCTCCGATCCGCCCCATATTTGACGTAATGTAATAGTCTTTTGGAGTAGGTTCTGTTTTATATCAAAAACGGCTTTCAACGCCATCGCAGTTGATTTTGGGACTAGCGGGGGAAATTGCCCAACATGACTCAACGTGCATGTTCATGACTGATGTATGTATAACTGAGCGCGACCAAATACCAAATAAAAAAGTTCAAACGATCTACATTGTCTTCTAGAAGGGGGACCGAAGGTTCTTGGCAGTCGGAGGGGTGGAATAATCGAAAAGGAGAGATTTAATTGATTAGTGAACACTCCGAGCCGAACGTCCCGCTCGCGAATCAGGTTCGGGAAGCCAGGGTTTCATGAACATGAATGTTTAAAGTTGAGGGATTTCGCAACCTAAAATCGCACCAGGATTGGCTCTATTTGCCCATCGCCCAATCACTGCAGCGTGGCAATGGCTCCCGACACGCCGGACGCTCACGCTAACGGCCATTCTAAAAGTAGTTCCTCCGACTGGCCTGATGATGATTAAATCTCTCCTCCGATCATATCGATCGTACCGTTTCCTGCTTCTCGAACGGATCTGAATCGATCTTCATCGTATTTCATCTTCCATCACAGCATCATGGATGGAGGCATGCAGCTCCAGACGTACGAGAGTTTTGGTGATCCCGACGCTCCTCTCCTGCCGTGGGATGAGATTTACCAGAAAGTTTTGCTATCTCCACGCTTCCGACCGTCGCTGCTGGAGAGCTCTCTCGCAACCTCACAGCTCACTTCCCTCCTGTCCGCTTCCTCCTATCCCATTCCCGAACCATTTTATCCGCACGCACAGTTTTCCCCGGAGGGCTACCATGCTCCATTGCCCGTACCAAATGGGTTTCTCCTTCCAGGGTCCGCCGCGGACGGAGAGCGCACGATGAATTTGGACCGACGGACGCCACCTAATGACACGCAACGATCGTCTCAGACCACACAGAAGGCCACGAAACGTCAACTGAACGAGTCAACGGGTGCACCGGCGTCTAAGAAGCGTGGTCGCCCGCGTAAAACGATGGACACTCGAATGGGCGAGGACCCAGAAGAAGTGCGTCGACGATGGTGATGTCACCTCTTTGTGAACGGTTGGCTGACAAAAAGAGTCAAATAGCGACGTCGAATGCAAATCCGCCTGGCACAACGTGCTTACCGTTCTCGCAAGGAAGCCAACATTACCTCCCTCAAGGGTCGGATTTCTCAATTGGAAGCGACCTTGGAGAAAATGAGCTCGGCAGTCGTCTCCTTCAGCGATAATCTCGTGCAGTCGGGGGCTCTCGCCTCGCATCCCGATATCGCGAGTCATTTACGCGATACCGTGCAAACATGTTTGGCATTGGCAAAGGAGGCCAGTAAGGATGGCGAACCCGAGAGTCCGGACACCTCATCGCACGGCGAGGACACCACCTCGTCGACTTCGGCGGGACCGGACAGCACGCCAATAGATCAAAATACGAGCCCGAGTACTCACGCCGAACAGACCACGCCCCCCGAGAGTGGACCCCCGAAGCCTATTTCACCTCCTCTGTCCGAGCCCTTAGAGCCTTCTGCTATGGATATTTCTCTCTTCATCGAACAATTACACCTGGCTTGTGTATATCAAGGGTACTTGGTGCTCTCGAATCCGTCTGTTCCGATGTCTCGCATAGAACGACCGTTCCGGTTTCTTTTTACCCTCATGGACCGTCCTCATCTGACTGCAGCCTTCGAAGCGTTGTTGCACGCTAAATTGAGTCAGAAACGATTGGAGGAATGCTATGCGGGGGTCCCGTTCTTCAAGCTTGGGGGTGCTGGCACCCACTATGCACGATCCACCGGCCAAGCTCAGGAAGGTGAAAAACCTTTATGCCGATACCAGCAATGCGCCACGATCCACGATCCTCTCGCGCGATTTTCGCCCGACATCAGACAGGAGATGGAGGGAGATTGGTTTGACATGCAAGACCTGGCGGGCTATCTCCGCGAGAAAGGAGTGCATTTGTTCTCCTCGGCCCCCTCGGACATGGACCGAAAGCCGTCCCGGACGGCCATCAACGTCACCCGTTTCACTCAAAGTAAGGTCCTTTGGTTTCTTTGTTTATCGAGACGACTCTCTAACGTTGGTAACAGCTTTGATTAGTAGAGGCATATGTTTGGGGCGCACACCGGGATTTCGACGCTCCGATGTGGACAATGCTCTGCGCGCCTCGGTATGGACATGAAAGCTCAGAAGTAATTAGTATCAAACTCTCCCATCATCAGTTTTATGCTTTATGATTGCCGTTTTGATACCCGAGTTCTTAAGTGTGGTCCGCTATAAACATATCGTCCAGCGCCTCCACATCTCGACGGTATCCGTTGCTCCTGGAGAGCGGGTCAGCGTGTGGCATTGAGTGGACAGCACAGAGCCTTACCCCACCGAGCCCTTCAGGTATCCATGTGAGGATCACATACCCGCCTAGCTTTCTGAACAGATATACCGGGTGACCGATACATGTACGAGCACAGCCAGTCCTCGTTAGTTCAGGGTAGGGCTGTCGAAGCATCGGAGGCCTTGGTCGCCACTTGACCTCACAGGCAGCATTGACCTGCAGCTGGTGGACTGCCCCTGAGCCTCTGTTAGAATACATTGTGGGCTATGTTGCATACTCCAGGGACAGTCCCGTAGAAGCTGTCTTCAGTCTCCAGTGAGCAGCTACAGATTCGGCACAACTAGCTCCGATTGAGGTTACTCCAAATCCTTCACTCAATGTACATACATTAATCTCAAATTCGAGATGCCTTTAATGTTTGAAAATAGCCCATGGCACCCATGATAAGTGCACCGGTGTTGTATCGATCGGGATACAGCTTGGTCATCTCTTCCACAATCTCCCTAGGAGACTTGGGCTTCTTCTCTAACACATCCGCAAAATCTCTGATATACTGCTTTGTGTTGGCGAGGTGCCAGCGGCCCAAAACTTCCCCCTCCTGGCAATGGCCAGGTACTACATACAACGGATCTAGAGCCTCGATCTTCTCCACCGCTCTAATCCACTCCTCTCGCTTGGCGGCGGTATTCGCCTCAAATAACATTTGGTGTACCTGCCCATACACCACATCTCCACAAATGGCCAGTCGCAGGTCGGGGACCCACAACGCGGTGGAATCGTAAGTGTCCGAGTGTCCAGCCTCGATCGCCTGGAACCGCCATCTGTCTTGCAGCTTAAACTCGTTGCTTCCCGGTAGCGGCTGCGCCAAGACGAACGGTCTCGCGATCTCTCCCGGGAATCGCGATTCCCATTGAGCTTGATAGTTCTTCTCTTCGACCTGCTGCTTCATATGCTGCACCGTGGCGGCCGTAGCCACCGGCTTGGCCTCTGGAAAGCGCTGAAGCAGCAGTGGAAGACCGAAGAAGTGATCGCCATGACCATGCGTGATGTAAATGTACGACAGCTTCCGCTTCGGCGCGATGCGGTCGATCCAGGCGATCAGGTCCTGTGTCTGCTTGATGGTGATGGGTGTGTCCACCAGCACGGCCTCGGTGGCTGAGTAGACCAGGGTGCAGGAAATGGGGGACCAGAGACCACCGCCGCTTCCTTTTCCCGGCGTTTTGAAGGGAGTCGGTGGGGCGATGTATACTGCTGCACGGAGGGCGGACATTTCGTTGATGGCTCTGCTTGTGGAGGGATGTGGATATTGTATGTATGTAGTAGTGGAGTTAAGATGTTGACCTGGCTGTCAAGACATTGTTGTCATGACCCTATTTATAAAGATCCTCAGCTGCATTATTCTGTCTATAGTCCATACTGACGCCGCCCTGAATGCGGAGACGATCCGAGGTTACGGTTGTTGATCACTAATCCTCATAAGTAGGTATGAGATATTCATATCCTGATACAGTAATTAGGGCTTACGCATCGGACCAGCCCCCATCACTCTAGATGATTATAGAAGATCAAGCTTGTGTGGAGTATCAGATACCCTAGTTTCCATAGTATGGATTAGACATCTGCTTAGATTGGGCATAGCGACATAGCTGTACATCACTAAACCAAAAAAACACATTTACCGATTAAAATTCGGCTGTTGACTGATTAATGATCATAGAAGAAGCACCGTTTGTCAGCGCAAAGAACAGCATAGAAATAACGAATACAATAATAAATAGTCCAAAGCCATCCATGGTTTCTAACAAGTAGCATCTATTTCTGTTAGACACATATTCAGAATAACCAACCACCATGGCCCTAGCACTCATCACCGGCGCGACAGGCTTTATCGGCTCGCAGGTCGCATTGCATGTTTTGCAAGCGGGCTACCGCGCTCGTCTCACCATCCGTCGCGAGGAGCAAGCTGATAAGCTTCGTCGTATCTTTGCCGACTATGAGAAGCAGTTGGAGTTTGTGATCGTACCGGATATTACCGTCTCTGGATGCTTTGACGAGGCATTACAAGGTGTGGAGTATGTTCTGCATCTGGCCTCCCCATTGCCCAACCCGGGTAGTGATGATCTGGTTACTCCCGCCAAGCGAGGAACAGTCGCTATTCTAGAGTCTGCGGCAAAGGTACCGAGTGTCAAGAAGGTGGTAGTTACAGGATCTGTACTATCGCTAGTTTCGTTGGGAGAGCTCAAGGACGGACTGGTCGTCAGAGGTAAGCTCATCCCCCTCTCCCTCTCCCTTCCCTCGCCCCAATATCACCTTCCTCTCCTTCAGCATCCTTCTGCCATACAGCCCAATGGTACTGATATAGAAAAAAAACAGAGGACAACGAAATAAGTTACAACCTCCCCCCGGACACCATAATCCCAACCCTCCCCCCAATGGGCCAATACCACGCTAGCAAACTCGCCGCCCAGAAAGCCACACTCGACTTCCACTCGACCACCAACCCCAGTTTCGACATAATAACCCTCCACCCCGTCTTCGTCTACGGCCGCAGTCTTGTCCAAGAAGCCGCCGACCAACTCGGCGGATCCTGCGGCTCGCTTTTCCAGTCTCTCTTCTCTGAGACGCCGGGCTCCCCGCAGTTCAATGGCGTGCATGTTGATGATGTTGCTAATGCGCATGTGCGGATTTTGGAGGACGGTGTGAAGGGGTTCAGGTCGTACTTGTTGGCGGCGGAGACGAGGTCTTGGGGGGATGTTAAGGGTTTCTTGGAGGGGAGGTATCCTGGGGTTGGGTTTGGGTTGAAGGATGTTGATGGTGGTAATATAAGTTATAGGGTGGATGCAGGCAGGGCGGAGAGGGAGTTGGGGATCGTGTTTAAGGGATTGGAGAGTATGGTTGGCGATGTTGTTGATCAGCAGTTTGAGCTGAGGGGGAAGGTGTAGGGTTGAGGGTGGTTTGTTGGATTTTGTACTTTGTACTTTGTTTATTGTGGAAGATGGTTCTTGAGGAGGGGTTGTCAGTGTGTGAATGTAGACTTTATTGTATTGAAGTCAATGTGAGGACATGTTCGCTATGAGGGCTTGAAGGTTGTGGAAGTATAGTAAGGGTTACGGCGGTGTTGCGTTGGCCTGTGTCCTTAACTAGTATAACCTTGGGCTGGTGGTCTTGTTTCCCTTACCATATGGGAGAAGAAATCAGAAACTGGCAAAGGTGGAGACTTTTTGGTTTAAATTGGAAAGTTACTAGATTTCAACTTGTGCCAGATTGATTGAAAGAAAAGGCAGAGTATCATTCTTGAGTCTCTTTTCAGAGACTAATGTTTGCTTTGCTACGTTGGATGTCAAAGCATGCCGCTGAATCGAACAGCTAGACAACATGCCACTGTCCAAAATTTAATGCGAACCATGTCGGGGAAGCATGGGGTCATACGGACTACTCTCATGCTTGTCATGATCGCCCATTTCGTTCATCTCCGTTTCCTCATCTTCACCTACTGCGAAATATTCCCCGTCCCGCTCCCCTCGCCATGTAATATTGGGCTCCGATGCCTCAGGAGTAGACTGGCGGGATGTGTGCCTATTACAGCTCCAAACCCAGAAGGTGAGGCCGACGATTTCTCCGACAATGATTGCAGACACTAGGATAATCCAGAACTGGCCAGTTGCTACAAAAAGCATGCCACTGAGAAAGTTCGCCCAGCCAACAATCATAATGAGTCTTCCGGCCCAGATGTGCGCGTGCGAGATCCAGGTTCGATGTCTGACTCGTACAAATATTACATGGTGTCTCCACCCGAGAAACGCTTGAAGACCAAGCACACCTGATACCAGCAGCCCGGCCATCTGGTGAGGGGAGTTGAATGACCCATGGCTCATGATGATGCCAATAATCGCACCTGTACCAGTGCAGAGGGAGGCAATGAACTGAATAATCCAGTGATATTTAAATGACTTGCTGGATTGTGAGCGCATGGCCAACACTCCTAGTGGAAAGATAACTAGGAATGCTATTCCCATTAGGAAGCCATGTATAGCCCCCTTGTTAAACAGTGTGGATGGTTTACTCCTGTCGATAGGTATATCAGAGGTTCCTAGAGTGCGAACCCCAGATTGAATCGATGGGACAGGTGGAGGGTTCTCAGCGGTCCTAAGGGACCGCGACATGTCCACATAGAATTCGCCCCATCCACCATTTCCGCGACGGTGCCTGTGTCCGTTGAGATGGGCATCGTCGGAGAGCGATGAGATTTCCTGGTCCTCATTCCATGCCCAGATCCAGGGGAGAGACGTTGCCGTTGCGGAAATCTTACTGCTACCTCTGCCTTTTGCCGGCCACAGATTACAGGAATAGCAGACGAGACTCACTTCCGCGACATACGCATATGACGAGGATGATAGCGTAGTAAGCGTGCCGTCTTCTTCCATAGCCTGCCATTCTGCCCGGAGAACCCGAAAATCTGCACCACCCGTTTGCTCTTTGGTTATCAGCTTAGGCTGGTGATGTGCAGCTGCCGTCCTTATGCTGACAACTGGAGGCTCTCCGGTAAGAGGCTCGCCGTAGACGATGGTCATCAACGAGCCAGCCATCACAGAACCGGTCCCGATCGCAGTCCAACCAAGGTCCGACCCTCGCGTGACAGTCATGGACAAATACATGTCATAGGCATTCGAAGATTGATTCTCGTGCATGGCGACGGCCATGCAAAAGTCCACGTCGCCATTTTCTTCCTTCCCTTTGTATCCATATTTGCAGTATTGAACCGGCTCGGCTCGGGTGATGCCGAATAAGTAACCAAAGGTGGTGATCCACACGAGCAGAACTCTATAGATTGAGTTTCGAGCCATCGTGAAAATAACGAACATCAATCATGCTCTAGACTGTTCCACCATCTTGCAAAAGGAAAGAACACATCCGACTTGAGAATTCTGTCCATCAACCGTGACGCAAGGGCGAATCGTGCGGGGTAAGAAAAGAATACCAGTAAGCAGAAATGCCTGCCTTTTGTTTGCTTGGTTCGGTTCGTCAGCTTGCATCAATAGTTCCCGCGCTAAAGTACGATTGCGATACGAGTTGAACGGACCCTGCGGAGAGATCCACTCACGCCAGTCGGATCGCCTATTGCTTGTTTTCAGCTCCTTGGTTTTTCTTTGCTCCTCTTTCCACGGATCTTTTGATCTGGAGGACTGCAGATACCTTTCGAAGTGTTTCTTTTGTGCCCTGCGAGACTGGTAGTATTCGCAGCGGACTCGGGATAGACCCTGACCAAAGTGCCAGAAGTAAATTGACCGATCTAATAAGATCTCCACTAGCTGACAGCCATGGGCAAGGGAACTATCCCAAAGGAGTTATTAAAGAAGAACTCCAGTGGTCTTTATTGTTTCCGTATTGGTCCGACTTTGCGCCGCTTTGTGTGTGTTGATTGATCTGGGAGCGTGGAAAAGGTGAAAAGTGCGTGGGCTCTACACTGTTGTAATGTCATCTGGCCTCGGGTGTCTATAATTATTAGGCCACCCGCAGGATCCACGAGATTCCAAATCCCAAGTCTTAGAGGTCTGAATCGAGTATTTGACTGCCTGCCACCTTGTTGCTAAAATTAATTCCATGTCCTCAATTTAGGCACCTTCTCGCCCTACGAGGTTCAATCGCTGCCAGGCGATGGATCGGAGCTTTCGGTTCTCCTAAATTAAGAATGCTTATTTCTGTCTTAACTTCAGCCTAGAAGAAATGATGGGACGCCTAGAGGACGAATTCACAAAGCTTCGCCTCAGACTAACTCCGTCAGTACTAGGGTTGCGACATCACATTGCTACTGTGGCAGCCACACAATTCAGATGCCGTTGGATCAGCAGCTAAACTGTCAGAACTACTTTGGTTGGATACACTCGTAGACTGAGTCCTCCATTATAAATTGTGATGTTTGGGAGGCCTGAGAAAGGATTGTGATGCTGCTCCTATGACATTCAGCACAGCCTCTCGAGCTCAAGATCCGTATACTCTTCACCGAGACAGCAAGCGGGCTGAGCGTAACAGTGTGCGCGTCCCCATCTAACAGGCTGTCTTGAGTCATTATCTCGAGAATCGCAATACGAAGTCTCTAAGCTATAAAGACAGTCAATCTTCGCACTGAACAGACTAGTATCATCAACACTACAACTCACCTCACAATCGGTTAATCACTCTTCAATCCACCTATTTTATTATATCATCACTTGACAAATTCAGCCGTCCGACAAAATGAAGCCTACCACTATCTGCTCCTTCCTCCTGGCCACCGGTACTGCTCTGGCTATGCCTGCCAAGAGAGCCGAGAAACCCATTACTATCAGCGGCCTTTTCGCCTCTCAGATTGATCAGCAGGGGTACATTACCTTCAAACTGAACGATCCTAACTACAACGATGTGACCGGCGCCAATGTGATCTGGTATTCTCACTTCCCCCTTTTCTGACTAACAACCCAAGTGACAATTATATACAGGCATCGTCCCGGAAGCCCTCTTGAAGGCGCTCGTACCAGCGACAGCGCCTACTATGTCCAGTTTCCGGGCGGCGTGAATGATATTTCCGTCTTCACCTTGCAGCTCCAACGAGTTAACGGGACTGAGAAAGTCTCGTTCACCCTCAATGACAATGGAAGTGGCCATGCCCCGGGCACCAAGTGGCTGTGCAACACAGAGACAGGAACACAGACGGTGAAGAAGTGTCACTACGATGGTGACATCACCTTATAAACCTATCTTCATGGGTTGACTTTTTTTTTGTTTGAGATCGGGACTTAGATGGACACTTGAATTAGGGCGGGCGAGGTTCAACTTTATCGAGCCATTCACTCTCTGTGTGTTTTCTATGATATTGCATGAACGTCAGTATGTTGGTTGGTACTTCGTATACTAGAGCATTCCTTTCATTTCTTATATACTGAAGCTAGAGATATGGATGTATTATTCTTACGAGTTAGTTGCGAACTTTGCAGGCTTGTGGATCAAACAAATGGGTAAGATATCCTGGCAGGTGAGAACCGGGTGTTGATAAGGCATCTGGTGCGTGTCATGCAGTGTTATGGACGTGCGCCGATCGCTCCAAGAGCGGTAAAGCCACATTAAAGCGGCGGGGCCCGCCATAAGCAGAGTTAATCGAACACGTAATGCTCTGTACATGGACAAAGCCTGGAGATCGATCACCTTCATTGTGATGCTGTCTTTCTTTTCGGGCTGACAGGATAACCTCAGCCGAATCATAGGTTTTATGATTTGAGAATATCATGCTCTCGACATTCTGCAGTTAGGCTCTTGTCTTGTTTCAGCAAACATCTACTTCCCTGCCAGTATCCGCTGTTTAGGTCTGTCTTGGCGATAGACTGAAGTGAGTGCGTCGTCATGTCCGACTATGCGCGCCCGACCGGAAGTCAGCCAATTGAATTGACGGATATGCGAGAAGTTCATCGGACTGGAGAGAATGGGACAAGACAAAGAGCAAGTTCGATATCCACCGATGAAGATGAGGAAGAGGACGCTGCCTTACCCACAGACCCTTTTGAACCATTTGGTGACGTTGAGCCAGCAACAGGGAGCATCCTCACCTTTCGTGCCCTAATCGTGGGTTGCTTGTGTGGAACGCTTGTGAACGCCTCCAATCTGTATCTCGGACTCAAGGCGGGCTGGACGGACTCTGCCAATATTTTCGGGGTAGGATACGACACTGACAGTGTGCTCTCACTGTGGTCTGCATCTTGGTCCAGTCCGTTAACTCCTTTCCTAGTCCATCATTGGCTTTGCAGTGCTGCAGCCATTGACGTCGTATTTGTCTTCTCTGGGATACCACAGCCAGCACTTTGGACCTCAGGAAAATAATATCGTCCAGACTGCGGCTACCGCCGCTGGAGGATTATCCAATGTCTTCGTCTCCGCCATACCCGCATTGTATCAACTGGGATTACTCACTACCCCCAGTAAGGACTTTGCACGTTTAGTAGCTATTACCGCAGCTGGAGGATACTTTGGTCTCCTCTCTGCAGCTCCCTGTACGCGATTGGCTGTCCACCCTTATACCATTTAGAAAAAGCGACAATTAGTTGACCTAAAGTTGATGCCGCAGTGCGCAAGTTTTTCATCTTTCAAGTGGCAAGAGAACTCGGACTTCTATTTCCTTCCTCGTCGGCAACGGCGATCACCATTCGCGGTATGCATCTTGCAGCTAGTGGTGCGTACGAAGCCCGACAGAAAATGCGAACTTTGGCGTACAGCTTCATCTTCGCTATGCTGCTGCGTGTGGTGTCTCAATATGCCATTGGTATCTTATGGGTATGTTTGCCGTAGTCCGACAATCGCCCCATTATAAGACATTAATTAGGACAAAATGCTGACCTCTCCCTGCCATGAAGGATTGGCATATCTTCACTTGGATCGCGTCAACTGGCTTCATGGCAGACACAGCCATGGCTATAGAAAGCTGGGGCTGGTTTATTGAATGGACCCCGGCTTTCATCGGGTCTGGAATGCTGGTTGGTATGAATGTTGCTGCCTCCTTCGTTCTTGGCTCAATCCTCGCTTGGTAAGAATAAACTGCAGTTACTACGCCAACTCATACTCATTGAGGATCTATACTTATGAACTCTCGCGTAGGGGTATCATAGGGCCCTACCTGGTGTCTCATGGATTAGCGTTCGGAAAGGAGGCAGCCTCGGCTGATGGGCTGGTCTCCTACTTCTCCTTGTCAGCGGAGTTTGCAGATGCTCAGCATCCCAGCCCTCGATACTGGCTCCTGTGGCCAGGAGTTGTGTGTATGATCGCGGCGGCGTTTACGGGTAGGATCTCTGCACCTTATCCATCGTCGAAGTTACAGCCATGAGCCATGCTTACTGCTTCTGTAGAACTATTCTGCCAATGGCGGGTTATCTGGATAGCCTCCCGCGGTTTATGGCAAGCATTCAAGACACGACGGCAGAAGGGGTACGCTTATACCTCCATTGGCGGGGAGAAGATTCCTGCCAATGAAGACAACATCCGATTGTGGATGTGGTTCCCCGGGCTAGTAGTGGTAATAGTTGTTACTTGCTTTATCACGAGCGTGCAATTCGAAATGTCTGTCGCAGAGACGTTACTTGCGCTTACCTTGGCGTTTCTTCTTTCACTACTCGCGATTCACGCTTCGGGAGCGACAGGTCTGAAACCTATTTGCCATAAGCATACCCATAAGTCTTAGGCTGACAAGTACAACAGACACTGTACCACTCTCATCTCTCTCCAAAGTGACACAAGTTGTCCTCGGGGTGACTACGCAAGGGTCCGCAAGCATCGACAGTGCGCAGCGCTTAAACCTACTCGGCGGGGCTCTCACCAATATTGGGGCGAATCAGGCATGCGGTATGATCTTCACCCGACGCCTAAGGGAATAATGATGAATGGAAAATAGATCCTGACATCCATCTAGATCTTATGGGCGATTTCCGCGTGGGTTTTCTTCTAGGTACATCACCACGTCTCCAATACGCCGCACAGATGATAGGAACACTAGTTGCTGCCCTTGTGGCCCCTACCATGTTCCTTATCTTCGCTTCTGCGTACCCCTGCATTCTGTCAACCGAAGACACTGCTGGAGATGGTGGGGATCACCAGTGTGAGTTCCCAGCACCCGGTGTCGCCGCCTGGCGTGCCATCGTCCTCGCCGTGACAAGGCCCGAATCTCCAATACCACGAAGTAGCTGGGTGTTTTCCATAGCCATGGCGGTATTGGCCAGCGCGATGGTGCTGGTGAAGAATCTCTGCACCAGTAAATGGAACAGAATACAGCCTTATTACCCCAATATGATGATTATGGCGATGGCGTTCACGCTACCGTCGACGCAATACGGAACGGCAATGCTCATTGGAGCCGTGATTGCCTCCGTATGGAAGAAGAAGTGGCCTGACGGGTTTGAAAAGTATGCCTATGCTGTGGCAGCTGGCGCCATGGCTGGTGAAGGTATCGGAGGAGTCGTCAATGCTATCCTATCCGGAATCGGGCTGGACGGTGGAAACTTCGGCACCACCGTTGGTACCCCGTGAAAGGCTATTCAGAGGCAGAGCACCACAGATACGCTGGCGCCTTCAAGTATCTGCTGGAAAAATAGTGCACGTCCTCTTAAGGGAATAAATGCCTTGGACACAGCTACTACGCCACAGGAAGACACTGCTTGACCTACATTACACACATACATCTTTCATTTGCAATAAAATAGAAATACATTGTTTCATCAAACCGTTGGACCATGGTGAGATTCTAAGCCAGGATTATATATAGCCAGATATGTCAAATTCCCGCCCCAATACCATCCATGCAATGTATACTTCGAGGTCGTAAGTTTGATTCGCTTACCGCCCACCGTGCTGTGAATGATCCCAAGAATTAGCTTATGAGAACTAAAGTCGAAGGTACTGACTTACACCACCAGGGCCACCGGGACCGCCTCCATGATGACCTCCAGGACCACCAGGGCCACCGCCATGCTGGCTTCCAGGACCGCCTCCATGCTGACCGCCAGGACCACCGGGGCCACCTCCATGTTGACCACCAGGGCCACCAGGACCGCCATGGCCACCAGGACCGCCAGGACCTCCTCCTTGGTGACCACTAGGGCCACCCTGAGGGCCCTTGTGATGTTCGTGGTGACCGAAGAGACCCATTATGTGTGTTTGTGGGTGTGTGTGTATGATTTTGATAGATTGGAGAGGAAGAATGAGGAAGATGGTTCAGAGAGATGGTTATCTACCTTCCAGTACGGAGGTGCAAATTGACACCCTTTTATAGACAACGAGCATGACGCCAAGCAATAAACCTCCTCTCTGAAGTTGTGATGCTGGTGACCGGTCCCATCGCGATGGAGCAATTGTGGCGATATTGCTAAGTAAGCGGAGTATCTAAACTCAGCCTTACCCCACAGCCTTAGTCCACCTATGACGCGGCCATGTGCTCGACCGATACACCGAGCCCTAAGAACTCGCACGCTAGTCTTATTCACGGTTAATGCAATTCAATGGATCAGATAAGTACGTTCGTGGCGGTGATTGTGGGGATATCCACTGCAGAATGTTGAGTTCATAATTCTCCTAATCAGATGACCCATTTGGTAGGACTATTGCGGTCCCGATGGGGATCCAGATTCTACTAAGAATGGGAGGGAACAGCCCAGCACCTCTACGTTTTGATTCGATGGTCGGTGGAATCTCAACAATTCGAATTATGGGATTGCGGTAGCATGATAATGTCTTATCGCTGGGAGGGTTCGTTAAGATGATGTGTGATAGACCAAGACACCAGGCCGTATAAGGCATGTCGGTGTGAGTACGTGCTAAGGGCAAGCTAACTACTGAAGGATAAGCCTCCAGACCTACCAATATGCGGGCGAATAGCGCCCATGGGTCTGACTGTGGCGTATGCCTACTCCACGGTGATAATCAATCTACGGTATTCAGGCTAAGATCGCCTAGGTCCTGCTTCCTAAGGACTTCTATCCCCCGAGCAGGTTCAAATGATTTACATCTACACCAGAGGGAAGAAATCATATCCCCTTCATATTTTAAACTACCGAGAAGTTAACATTTTCTTTCTATACAAGAAGGGAAAATTGGCCGTTTGGTGAGGCATAGACCAAAATAATGCTCCAGATCAATAGAGGCTAATAAGACCATATGAGAGTTTAATTCCATGTCGCCATATTAGCTAGTTATGTGCCAGCGTATCTGGTAAAGCTAAATCTGTAGAGTAGACCAGTAAAGTCTGATTGATATAAACGCTGCTATTGCTAGTAATTGTTTGATTGACAAGCAAGTAACCAGTGACATGGCGCGGACGAGACCTGCACTCGTCATGAATCAATTGGGATAGAATTACTGGTAGCCAACCAAGGGTAATGAGAGGGTAAAATGAATGAAACTCACCAGATAGTAAATCGAGCTAATTATTAGATAGAAGGAACCCCGGCTCCATTAGTAGTGAACCGAGGAGGGATTGTAGGCTAGATATTTCTTTTATTTAATCATTGACTTCTAAGCCGGGAGCGGGTCATATCGAAGGAGCCAGGCGGCTGTTACATTATTGTAGGGCTTATTATTTCACATGACGAAAACAAATTACTAGATTATATAGATAAATCAATGCTGTCACGTATTTTATAATTCTAGTGCCAACCATGCTCAATATAAAAGCCTAAGAATAGAAGCTAGAAACTTTTTGAAACACGGTTGTTGCTGATGTCTTTGTTTCTCGAACGAGAAAGAGAATAGACATCCAATGAGGATGGATGAACAGCACCACAACAGCCAAGACAATTGCCCGACCCGAAACTGTCTGGACACACATCCCTCTGGTATCTTGAATTTGTTACAATCTCATCACTGTTTCTCCTTACTTGTGACAATGGGGTGTTCTATTAAAGATTCTCTCAGGTGTTTATCATTATACCTCGAGTCAAAACTAGACACATTGCCCTATTCCACTACTCTGGTGAGAATGTATAGCGACTCCGGGTGAGGTTGTAGTTTAAGTATCACAGACCTATTTCATCCTTGACAGGGCAGTTCCACCGAAACGATGCTTTCCAATAGATATTTGTTCTGACGCCCGGTGGCCCTATCTCAATTGTGCGTGCCAATGACAATAGACGCATTGATCCTTCATTTGCCACCTTACATGGATGGCTTAAGCGCCCAGAGAACTGTTCATCTTAAAATCCTTTTATAACGATGCATTCCCGATGGTCTCACCCTAATCGATTATGAGTTCTCATGGTCGCTCTACTCTACAACAGATCTATGATGGCGAGCGATCTCATGTTCAGAATGCTTCAAGTCCCACTTTTTGCGTTTCTTCTTTCCTTGTGCCTAGTATTCCCCACGGTACAAGGTTGGAGAAACCTAACCGACATTGAAAATGCATATAAAGGCATCTACTGGTGGACCGCCCTCATGGAATGTTCAGATGAACACTTTGATATACTGGTTGAGTCTACCCGAATGATGTTAGAATTGACCAAGCGGACTACCAAACCCATGGACACACCGGGATGGCAGCGTTTCTTCGCCGCAGATCCGCCGGGAGTAGAGGGGTGGGCTGTAAGTTTCGACCGTAGACAGAATTCTCATGTCTATCAACAGTCTCTTATTTGCTAACTCAATTCATCCGATCAATAGCACGAGAAGCATCGGACTCACTACCTCCAAGTTCATAGTAAGCCGATGCCGCCAATAAGATGAGATAAATATGCACTAATTCAGGCGCCTGATTTAGACGTTATGACTCAAGTCAATATGTTCCCTCGCCTCGGGAAGGTTGGCGAAGGTAATACTTCAGGGGAGCATCAGGTTAGATATCGCTGCGCCTCTAAGCGTCAGTCTCCTTGTACTAACCCGGGAGTGTATGTATACGATCTCCTGACCATGACATCCTGTACTTTCTGACTCTGAATAGGTACACGTTTACTAGAAGGTCTAACCGTGGTAAGCCCTCATGGCTCCATACACTTTAATCTGCTGGCCCGGAAGTATAACTGGACATATCAATACAGGATTGGAGATGTTCTTCTGTGATGGATTCTTTCGCCATAAGTACCTGAATGATATAACAAAAGGCGAGAAGTTTCCTGTCAAAAGTTTACCTGGCCTGGTTAGCTACGAGCACTTGTTGGCCCACGAATGGACTCACGTTGATCTTCTTGGGTCTTCATTCCATGGTGAGTTTCTACCCTGTCCCAATTTGAACCACTGGGCCCTAACCCAAATTTATCAGTCATGGACCTAGAGGCGCAGAATCCTAACCTTGGAATCAAGTCAAGGGTATGTACTATATCCCCATACCACGTGTTATCGGGCTGACAACTTGTGTAGAAGGTTGAAGGTGCTGAGTGGTCAAACATCCTTGCATGGTATGGACAAAGTCTTCCAAACGTAGGCGTCAAGTATAACGGTGCGTTAATCCACGAATGTGACTATCCTGATAATTCCACACTAATCATCTCTAATCAGCGGATAACTACGCCTGGTTCTGGACCAACAACTGGTTCAACGAAAAGTGGGGATGGAAAGATAACGGATTAGATCTCAGATGGAGCCCCGAGAACGCGACCGAACCTGGTGGCCCTCACGACATGGCCGGTCCTGGGCTTGGATTTCTGATGCCAAAGGAGAACCAAACCAATGAACAGAGAAATTGTCATGCCGGAAATGATCCCCGCGAGGTGTTCTGTGACTATCTTGGAGAGCCCTACAGCGAGTGGCTCAAGGATCGCGAGAAACCCTTCACTTCAGAGGGAGGCTGTGAGCTGACGTAAGTTTCCCTTTTACTGGGTTAACTTGCATGCATACAGAAGATAATGACTGTTTCTACAGGAAGCAATGCTGGAACTCCTTTAGTGAGTTTGCGATCGATCCATCTTGCGTTTGTAAATGTGACGGTAAAAGAACTCCGCTGTCTGATCCCAAGTGTGCTGGGTTTAGAGGAGGTCCTCCTGGAAGTCATTCATATGCTTAGTTGACATTGAGGGTGGTCGGCTGTCTTGTTTCTTCTTCGTCCCATTTTTACCTTTTTCTTCCCTCTTTCCATTTTTCTGAATTCCTATGACAGAAGCACGGCTTCACGGATAAATGTATAAGTAGTTCAGAGTCGGTTACGTGTGAAATATATACACGATGCTCCTACAATATATTTCGCTTAATGCGAAAGATTTGAGAAAATGAAAATCTAGCAATCTACCAAAAATAAGCCTCCAGTCATCTATTTCTTATAATTGATTTTCTATAACTCCATGAAGACGTGATGTTGCAGTACGATTTACTAATCTGCAGCCTCGGGCCGTCGGGACCGATCACAAAAACTATACTAATCAATTTAATCTCATCCAACATCCATCCCCAAAAAGTATATATCAACCACCATCCCCGCACCCCACGGATCCCCCAGAAACCAACAATAATACAAACCCACCATGTCCCACAACCCAAAGAACAACCCCGTGCTGGCCGTAGTAGGCGTTGGCCCAGGCATCGGCGAAGCAGTCTCCCGCCACTTCGCCTCAAAAGGCTTCAGCGTAGCCCTGATCGCCCGAACCGAAGACAAACTTCAAAAGATCCAAGACTCAATCAATGAGTCACACCCCAACTCAGCGAAATACTATGTGACCGACGTGCGAGATGAAGCAAGCGTGATCAAGACCTTCACTTCCATCAAGGACGATCTCGGTCCGGTTCATGTTCTCATCTATAATGCCGGGTCGAGACGCATTCGTCCGCGGACTATTATCGAGACGTCGTCGGAGGAATTTGAAAATTTCACTCGTATTAACATGTTCGGTGCCTTTTTTGCTGCCAAATGTGTCCTCCCTGATATGTTGGCCGCCGGGGCGGGGACTGTTATCTTCACCGGTGCGACGGGTTCCATTCGTGGGAGTTCTGGGTTGAGTAGTTTCTCACCGGGGAAATTTGGGCTTCGGGCGCTGTCGCAGATTATTACCAGGGAGTTTCAGAGTAAGGGTATTCATGCTGCGCATCTTATTGTGGATGGGCCCGTGCAGAGTGATATTATTGGGGGCTGGTTGCGGAAGAAATGGGAGAGGGAGGGTGAAGTCGAGAAGTTGAAGGAGATGCATCGTTATGTTATGCAGCCCTCCGATTTGGCGGAGATTTATTGGTTTTTGTATACGCAGCCGAGGAGTACCTGGACCCAGGAGTTGGATGTTAGGGCTGAGAAGGAGGGGATGTTTTCGAAGTTGTAGTTTTGTAGTATGTCTGATTATTTATTTATATATATATATATCTTGGGTAGTATGTGTCTTGGAGGTGTGTGAAGTTAAGCAGGGAGAACCGGAAGTGTACGTCATACTCGCGATTGAACCAAATGTTGATCTTATAATCATCTCCACGGGAGAAACAGTAAGATTTACAACCGCCAGAACGATCCCAGCTCCGCCTCCTGTTGATATTCCCAGGTCCTATGAGACTCTCCCTCTCACCGATGTCAAGGTCTCGCATCATCCGGAGGGTGCTCCGGTAGCAACGCCCGTAGTAGTGGTGACACTGAACCGACCAGACAAGAATAATGTATTTTCCACACATCTTATGGACGCTTTTGAGAAGCTCTACTCCCTGTTTGACGTGGATGAACGCCTCAAGGTTGTCGTGTTGACCGCAAGAGGGAGGATCTTCTGTGCTGGCACCGACCTGAAGGAGCCATTCAAACCGGCCAAGGAGCGACTGCTCGACTTTCGCGACCCGTAAGTATCCAGATACAAAGCTTCGGACATACATATTGAGCACCCAGTGGCGGCCGTATGGCCCTCGTCATCTACCGGTGCCGCAAGCCCACCATCGCCGCCCTCCAAGGCTCCGCCGTTGGCGTAGGCATCGCTCTCACCCTTCCCTGCGCGATTCGAATAGCATGCGAACAAGCCAAGTACGGATTCGTCTTTGCCCGTCGTGGGTTAACCCTGGAGTCCAGTTCATCGTTCTTCCCCCCTCGTCTGATCGGATACTCGCACGCAATGTACTTGGTAACCACCGGCCATGTCTTGCCACCCACGTCGCCACATTTTGGGTCGCTATTTGCGGAGACTCGACCGGATCCTGTGCAGGTGCTCTCTCGTGCGTTGGAATTGGCAACGGAGATTGTGGAGAACGTTAGTTTGCTTGCGTGGCATCTGAATCATGCTTTGATGTGGCGCAATCCGGGGACTGCGGAGGGAGCACATATTGTTGATTCGACGGTGATCTATCATATGTGTCATGAGAGGTATGCATTTGCCTTTTGATCAATGGGATAACTATGGCTACGTGAGGGCTGTCATTGTGGTATGCTGACATATTCCAGGGATATGCCAGAAGGGTCCAAGTCTTTCCTAGAGAAGCGAAAGCCACATTTCACTGCGACACTGGAAGATGCGCCACCGAATTACCCGTGGTGGATTGAAATTGATACAGGCAGGAGAGTCCGGGCTGCAAAGCTGTGATGCTACTATAACGGCGATCTCCAGGATGTCATTGGCGGATTATCTAGTTTATCTCAATTTGACATGAATGACCGGAGTAACTCAGAAGTGAACGACAGCAAATCAAGTAACAGGAGGAAAGCATGCCATGAATGATTGACATGAAGAAACGGGATACGTTATAGGATCCTCTCTGTACAAAGGAATCTTTTCCTTTCGAACGGCAGCTTAATGTAAAATCTGCTGGTGGTCGCCCTACCTGACTCGACGTCCCCACACAACAACGACTTGCACATCTAAATAAAAGCAACGGGACGTTAGACTTGGTTATCCTTAATTTTAATTGACTATCCACGGAAGAACCGACACCTAATGGGGAGCCGTTGATATTAATTTAGCTCGGCGAGCCACGAGGCATATCAATAGTTTGTTTCATATATAGCAGGTGAACGAAGAAGCTTCCGACAGTGACGCTTTCTGATAGGCTTAGGGAACGTCCAGAGGAGCAGACGATTTCTATTTCGGGCATATCAATGTGGTACGTTGAGTAGCTGTGGGCTACCACTAGCTATGAATCTGTAGACAATGGACACTTACCTGATTCGGACATTTCCGGTTAATAGGTCCAGGCTTGTTAGTCAACTAGAACGATTTCATAGGACGTGTTCCAAGGTGAAATTCAGATTTTACTAACGAAGCAGACGCTGATACCAGCATTATAATTGCGGAATTGAAGGATGTTCCTGTCATGAATTGTCTTATGATGTTACTTAATGAATATACATTTTTAGGGCTTATGGTAGGTAGGGCAAGGATGGCATCCGTGTGGAGTGCAGAATAGTATAGTCTGGTCTCCCAGTACTACCAGGAGACGATATGATGTTTCTAACCAATCATACTCTCGTGCCTGAGCAAGCCAATCACTTGACATGTCCAATTCAAGGTTTGGACTACATGGGCTCGGGAGTACGACGGGTCGTCATTCTCCCTCTGTCGTTATGGAAATAAAATAAACGGATGGAAGAATGTTCAAACTTGGGTGGTTAATCAGCCACGAAAGTCTAATTATGATTCGGAGAAAAGGCGGAAGGATCCATGGGACCGGACGGGAAGTTCCAGCTGGTCCTGATCCTGATATTAACCTTACCGGACTATAGATAGAAAGGTAATAATAGTAGGGAGATTCATAGCTAGCCTGTACGTAGATTGAATTGATTAAAATTAGCAGATCATTCGGGGGGAGGAGGAAAGATAGATTCATGCATTCGGGTTGTACGGAAAACAAAGAGCATTTCTTTAGTCAGAGGTCGAAGTGTAACTAATTAAAGTGTTTTGTTCCTTTTTTTAAAAATGGGGAAAAAGAAAGAAATTGAAGTTGCTAAAATGGACGGTCTCGTCGGCCGTAGTGTTTTTGTTTGGTGTGTTTGTTCACAATTTCATCCAGTCAGATGACAGTCCTGCCTCACACCAGAAAATCATCATCTCCCCTTTTTTCTCTGTCTCTGGCTTTCGCTGTATCCCTAGTTGACATTGACTATTGACCATCCCGGTGATTGTCTATCAGCCGACAACTCATTCTCCTTATCGGACTAGTCCACACGAAGCAACTATGCCGTTGCCACAACTTACTCCACCGCGTGTCTCGACTCGACCTGGCCCACATAACCGATGCGAGGAATCCAGACACTAAATTGGGGCCCGTCCGGTGCAAAATTTCGTCCACCTATGGGATTGCACATGGCCCTCAGATCGGCTGGCTCTTCCGCAGCTGTCAGTGGCTGATCCGAGGGTCGCTCGGGAAGAGTGCGTCTCGAAAATGTGAGCAACGTTAGATTGTCGCCAGGTGCCGCGCTTGGAATGAACAACAACCCATATCAATCGTCAACCCACACAGCACCCACCACAGACACAGAATGACGAAACTAATGACAAAATCAATGCGATGGGTTCCTTTGGGACACAATTCAGTAGAAACAGCCGCGCCTTTTGAGCCCCAAAGATAGGCGCCTCCTGTGTTTCATACCTTCCCCGCTCAGGAGATGTTCACGTTTCAGAACCCCCGACCGCCTTACCCTACAGGTCCTTGGCGATGTAACTTTTCTCGCCGGCCCACTAGCATGCCTGGGCGAAGAATGGAGGCGCGCACCCTGTCGGGATTCATCACAAGCTCGACATTTTTGTCTGCAGCCTGATATGAACACTGATTCGCTCTGACCCCTGTGGCGCAACTTGGCATGAACCGCCATCTGGCGAGTCGTGGGCCCCACGGCGTCTGCTGGATGAATCTGGCCACAATCATAGGCGGCTGCCAATTCTCCACGATGACCATTATGGTAAAGGTTGTCCAGCGGGCCTGGACACAATACAGCCTGCCGGCCCTGATGGAGGGTGCGCTGGGGATTCTCCGTTTGTTTATTACATCGAATGTCCCCTGGGCGCCTGAACTTTTGGATTTTGTGTTCTCTCCTGTTTTTTGTTCGTCCCTTTCCTTTTTTAGTTTTACAATCTAAACCATTTACATTCCTTTCAATCGCGGACTGACGTCTGCATTCTTTCGACAGTCTTTTCTTCGCTTGCCAACTTTGCCAGCCTTGACGGTTGGATTTCCATTCCTTTTAGTAATAATCTCTAGAGTCCTTCCAGGAGTTGGTTCGATCTAAGATCCTTGGTCTTTACCTTTTGCTATCTTCGAACTTGTCTACCTTCTTTTGCCTGGTTGCTTTACTGGTCGACAATAATCAGGATGCCTTCCTCATCCTTCATGTGGACTGTAGGGTCCATCGCTCTTTCTTCCTTGATCACTCCTACAATCGCAGACGGCTCTGGTAGCCGTTACCAGCTGATTGAAGCCTGGCAGGGAGAAAAGTTTCTGGATCATTTCAATGTCTTCAGCGGTGCCGACCCAACCAATGGGTTTGTCACCTATGCCAACCAGAGCTACGCAGAGAGCTCAGGTCTCATCAAAGTGACCGAAAGCGGTAGTTTCTACATGGGCGTGGACTACCAGACCGAACTCAGCCCCAACGGTCCGGGTCGAGACTCGGTCCGGATTGAAAGCAAAGAGTACTATGATGAAGGTTTGTACATTATTGACCTCCAGCACATGCCGGGTAGCGCCTGTGGGACGTGGCCTGCTTTCTGGTCGGTGGGTCCCAACTGGCCCTATGATGGTGAAATCGATATCATTGAGGGTGTCAACAAGCACGAAGCCAACAAAATTGTCCTGCACACAAGCGGTTCATGCGCCTTGTCGAGCGAAAACGATATGAGTGGCAGCATGACCTCCAGCGAGTGCGGCGAAGCATCTGGGACCATCGGCTGTGTGGTCGAGGGCCAGACTGGGACCTCGGGCGATCCGTTTAACGAGAAGAAAGGTGGTGTCTATGCTATGGAATGGACCTCGAGCTTTGTTAAGATCTGGTATTTCGCTCGCAGTGAAATTCCCCAATCCATTACCGAGGGTAACCCAGACACGACGGCCTTTGGCACCCCGATGGCTCACCTGCAGGGAACCTGCGACTTCCACGAGCGCTTCAAGTCGCAAAAGTTCATCCTTGACACCACCTTCTGCGGCGACTGGGCTGGTGGCGTGTTCGGTGACTCTGGCTGCCCAGTCAGCGACCCCAGCAACCCAATCCAGAGCTGCGTAAACTATGTGGCTCAGAACCCTGCCGCTTTCAAGGAAGCCTACTGGGAAATTAACTATATCAAGCTGTTCCAGACGGGTGCTGGCCATTCGACCGCCTCTATTGTCCCGCAAGCTCAGACTGCCACTGCTGTTGCGTCGAGGACAGGAGACAACGTTCCATCTATTACCTCCACGCCTCTTCCCGAGACTACCGCTCCCGCCCCAGAGACGGCATCAGCTGAGGCACCTGCCACTTCGAGCGCAGTTCCTGAGCCTGCCAATCCTCAGAGCAGCGTTGCCGGTGCTGAAACCACCGCCGCCCCAGCTCCTTCGACTCAGACCACTGCTGCCCCAGCAAGCCCTTCTTCGGATGGCAGCGAGGAGGGCGCTGATGCTGTCTCGGAAACTACCATCTATGTGACGGAGACTACGACCTTTTGCGGAGCCAGTACTCAGAAGGGTTCCATCCAGACCCTTGGCGGTGGAGAGACCGACGTTTCTCCGGCAAGCTCCACGGTCGAGTCCGCGGCTACCCCCGCTGCTCCCACACCGACCGCCCAGGAACCCGTTGCTTCGCAGCCCGGAACCGTGAATGGCGGTACACCTGTTCCCACCAATGTTTCTCCGGAAACTCCTGCCGAGCAGACGGCTGGTGAGTCCAGCACACCGAGCCCCAGTGCCCAACAGCCAGAACAGTCTCAGTCCGCCGCAACCAGCATCGAGGCTGGCAACGTTCCCCCGGCTGCCTCAACCCCAGCCCCTGCTGAGCAGGGTACTCCGGAGGGAGCTAGTCCTGTTGGCGCCACCGAGTCGCGACAGGTTCCCGACGAGCCGGCACCCACGAGCGTTGCCCCCATCCACAGCCCGTCCCACTCGTCATGGATCATCCCCTCCTCGAGCCGTGTTGCATCGTCTTCTAGCTTTGCTTCCACCACAACCTCCGCGAGCCGCACCACCTCTGCAACCCACGAGGCTACCGCTCCGACGGAGACCGATTCAGGCGCGTCGACCGGGACTAATCCTGAAAGTCCTGTCTTCACTGCCGGCGCGAGCAAACCTGTAGGTATCTCGAGCATGGTCGGTATTGTTTGTGGTGCTGTCGTGGCCATGTTGGCCTAATACAATGTATTTCTAAGTCGGCGGATTTTTGAACTTGTTTTTTGGCCTCCCTTTTTCTTTCCAGCGGATTGTCCTGCAGGAGGAGCTTTCTACAAATACCCACATTTCTTTTTTGTTTCCATTCAATTCAATTGACGCTTGACCGATGTCTTGCTCTGTCCGCTCGTTTAGACTGCATTCTGTTCCCCGTAGATTGTTATCGTTGCTGTTTAGATGTCTCAACTTGTTGCGTCATTCTGGCCACTTTGAATTAGATAGACAACAGGAGCAAAAA